GGGGAGGAATGTATTAATAAAATGGTGCAGCTGTTATGGAAAACAGCCTGGCAGTTCCTCAAAAAGCTAAACATAGAATTATTATGTGACTCAGCAATTCCACATCTAGGTACATATCCAAAAAGCTGAAAACAGGTATCTAGCAAGGAATCTACACATGAATCTTCATGGCAGCACTCCTTATAAAAAGTCAAAAAGAAACAAGTAGCCATCAATAAATGAATAAACAAAATGCAACTATAAGCGATTACTATCTAGCTTATAAAGGAATAAAACAGTGATACATGTTATAGCACACTAAGACTGGAAACATGCTAAAAAGCCAGGCACTAAAGGGCAGTTTCTCATTTGCTGTGACCTTGAACCTAGGATCTACCTTCTCTACCAGGAGTGGGGGCTGGGGGGTGGGAGGGCTCATGGAGTGTTCCACCACATTTGGTTTACACCACATATTTTATGATTCCACTTATTGAAATATCTATAATACAGATTGGTGGTCGATAGCGGCTCTTAAGAGAAAACAGGGAATGACAACTTAATGGGCTCAGGGTTCTTCTGGCTACTCTTCCAGAGGACAAGGGTTCAATTCTCGGCACCCACATGGTGGCTTACAACTGTCTGCGACTCTAGTTCCAGGAAAGCCAGAATCCTCTTTTGGTCTCTGTGGGGACTTGCACATGCTTCACTCCCAAAATACACATAAGTTTTAAATTTTAATTAATTAATTAAAGAAAATACATAAATAAAGACTTCTACCAAGAAAGGCACTGAAGTAGGATAAACATTTAAAAAGTCATTTATTAGCTGAACACAGTGATTCATGCCTATAATCCTAGCATTCTGGGAGGCAGAGGCAGGCATATCTCTGAGTTTCAAGGCCAGACTAGTCTACAAAGTAAGTCCAGGACAGCCAAGACTATATAGAGAAACCCTGTCTCAAAAAACCACACACACACACACATACATAGACACATACACACGGCACTTATTATAGGGTAATATCTGAATTATTCTAAAAGGCTCATTATAAGTACATTAAAACAATCTTCGGGATAAGTGATTTTAAAAAATCAAAATACAGATTACATATCAGGAAAGTATTAAAATAAAGTTGCTCATATGAAACAACATAGGCAGCCAAGCTGCTCAGCAGGCTGAAGAAGAGGGTCACTTAAGCCCAGTGACCTGAACTCTTTCCTGTTCAGGTCAGCCTGAGCAACACAGTGAGATCATGTCTCAAAACTAATAAGATATTTTTTTAAAAAACTAGGCCATCAAAAAGCATGGCTGGAGACTGAACTTAGGACCTTGTACATGCTAGAGAAGTGTGCTGCTTCTGAACTACACCTCCGGCCTCACTAACACACCCAAAGGAACCGTTACATTGGAACTACTCGGTAAGTGATGGACCGCAGGGCAACAGATACAGGTGTCTGCAGGGACGGGAGAAAACCGCTCTGAAGAAGAAGGTGATGGCCTAACAGCTGCAAAGCTGGCTAAGAGCTTGACTTGGCAATTTCATTCTTTGAACTACACTTGAATTCAAAGTAGGAGCAATAAACAATCTGGAAAAAAAAGTCAGAACCATGACAACTAAAATAAGAAAATATGAAATAATATAAATAGTAAGAGTAAAAGGTACAAAACTGAAAAAATATATATATGTTAATATGTATATGTGGGCTGGGCAGATGGCTAAGTGGGTAAACATATGCTAAAGGATGAAGACCTGAGCTCAAAACCCAGGATCCGAGGAAAAGCCAGGCATATAACCCAAGCAACGGTATTCCTGTGGGTAGACGGGAGGCAGAGACAGGGAAGTTCAGGAAGCTCAAGAGCGGGCTGGAGAGATGGCTCAGAGGTTAAGAGCACTGACTATTCTTCCAGAGATTCTGCGTTCAATTCCCAGCAACCAGGTGGTGGATCATGACCATCTATAATGAGATCCAGTGCCCTCACTGACCATGTATAATGGGATCTGGTGCCCTCTTCTGACCTGCTGACACACATGCAGGCAGAATACTGTATACATAGTAAATAAATAAATCTTAAAAAAAAAAAAAAAATAGAAGTTCAAGAGCCAGCTGCCCTGGTGAATACAGTGAAAACAACAGAACAGAACCTATCCCAAACAAGGCGAAGGGAAGAGCCAGAGTGGAGAGTGAGGAACAACCGCACCTCAAGTTATCCTCTGGCCACTCAAGCACTGTGGCGCACGGGCCTACATTCACACACACAGAAGATGTATATAGTTTGTGTGCATGTGCATGTGTGTGTATATTAATATCAAGTACAAAATTACTGGATTAAGATGGCTTCTCTTCCAGAGGACATGGGTTCCATTCCCAGCACCTACATGGTGGCTCACAACTGCCTATAACTCCTGTTCCATGAATCTGATACCCTCTTCTAGTCTCTACAGTCACCATGCACGTAAGTGGTACACAGACATAACACCCAGGCAAAAACATCTTATACATGAAATTAACAAAAAAAAAAGCAAAATTAAAAGGTATGTAAGAGAGATGGTACAGTGGTACAAGCTTGTAATGCCAATGCTCAGGAAACTGAGAAGGGAGAGGACTACAAGTTCTAGGTCACCCTAAGCTAAATAGCAAGACCCTGACCCATTACCACATAAAGGGCACATTAGAAATAACATTAACTAAAGTGAATTTTAAAACAGTACTGTGGGGACTGGAGAGACGTACAGTGGTTTAGAGCACTTGCCAGTTTTGCAGGTTCAGCTCCTAGCACCCAAACGGTGGCTCGTAATTGTCTGTAACCCCAGTTCTAGGAAGCCCAACACTGTCTCGTGGCTTCCAAGGGCACTGCAAGTACATGGTACATACACATGCATGTAGGCAAAACACATACATATCTTCTTTAAAAAAGGTACATGCATATATATATATATTTCTTCATATACATTAATGATACATGAAAAACAATTTAAGGCTCAGTAGTGCTCTTTCCAAAATGTTATAGAGAATAATTTCCCAGGTTTACAGACATTCTTTACATAGAGATTGATGTATGAATACGTAAATACAAATCAACACTAGCCTATAATTCTGTAGAATCACTTATAAGAGAATTGGCTGACAAATTAAAATGTATTATTATAAGCTTATTTTTTAAGACTTATTGTTTGTGTGGTATGGATGTGTGCCCACGTGTTTGCAGGTAGCACATGCGTGATGTAGCAAATGGGTGATGTAGCAAATGGGTGATGTAGCACATGTGTGCGGAGGCCAGAGGACAGTTTGCAAAAAGTTATCTTTTTACCCTGTGCTGGTCCTCGGGATCAAATGCAGATCATCATGCTTGCCAGCAAGCACTTTTACTCACTGAGCCATCTTACCAGTCCTCTATTAGTATATATTTTTTTCCTTTTTCTGAGAGAATTGCATGTCTAACAAAGTCAATATGTACCAAGGATGACCTTGAACCTCATACTCCTGCTTCTTGAATAAACTCATGGTTTATGTGGAACTGGGAATAAAATCCAGGGCTTCATACATCGGAAAAAAGCATTCTATCAACTGAGATGCAGCCTCAGGATCTGTTCCCCACAACCTCACCACCCCCTTTTTTTGTGAGACAAGGTATCACTATGCAGTCCAGGCTGGCCTTGAACTCATTAACCCTGGTTGGATTAAAATTTGTGATCCTCCTGTCTCAGCCTTCAAAGTGCTTAGGAGTTTAGGTGTTAGCCACTAGGACCAATTCATCTAAACCTCTTGTTTAATGCTGACCTCTGTCCGGTTCTTAGTTGGTGATGGTTGAGAAGATCTAGAATCAATGAAGAGACAAGCCTCTGGCATGTCTGTGGACAAGGGTCCATATTAGATGGTCGAAGCAAGCTGCACGCTCCACTCTAACAGTGGGTGGTGTCCCCCGTGGGCTGGGATCCCAGACTGAATAAGGAGAGTGTGAGCTGAGCACCCTCAGCACGCTCCATGCCTGGCCTGAGGAGGCACTGTGAAGCAGCTGCCTCAAGCTCCTGTGGACATGCCTGCCCCAACTTGATGTGCTGCACCTGAAACTGTGAGCCAAAACAAATACACCTTTCCTTAACCTGCTTCCTTCATGTATCTTGTCACAGCAGTGAAACAAGTACTTAACGCACAGGCCTATTCCACAGTGGGACTTTAAAAAATTTTTTTCTCACACATTTAAGATGTTAGCTACATTCTTACAAATAAAATATTTATGTAGTATTTTAATCAAGATGCACAAATATGCTTTAAAATATCATGGAAGGAAAGCCAATTAATAGCCAAACTTAATATGCATATAAACACACATATAAGTAACTGTTAGAAAACAACAGAAGTATTTGAATGAATACTTCTCAACCTGTAAGAAACCTAAACACTCTGTCCTCATACTGAAGGGAAAAAGAAGCCATGAAAAGAAAACAGAATAGAAAGAAGTTTAAGGAGCTGACCTAAGGAACAGCTTCTACACTAAATTCTCTGCATGGGTTTCCTTATAGGTACCAAGAATCCACTAACTAGAGTTACATATATTCACAGAAATGTTAACAAAATCAATGTCTCTGAAGTAACTAAGCAACATATTTCATTCCACAGTACTTGAGTGTGCTCACACCTACGCGAGACAGACACAACTGAAAGGGATAGAGGAGGAAATAATACTGCACTTCCCATTACAGCAGCCTCACCAGGTTCCTGTTCTCCCCAAATACTCTACTTTTCAAAACTATTCTCCGACCTCCTAATCAACGTTTCCAGGAGTCAGATTCATTTCTCTAAAAAAGGGTCAATGTACAAGAACTAAGCATTTTTTCAAAGAAATCAACTCACCTGAAATTTAACAGTGACCATGATAAGCCTTTTATCGTTTCTTCAGACTAGTTTCTGTCTACGTAAAACCTATTTTTTTAAACTTTAACAGAACCATACTTTCTTTTTACATATTTTTTTAGAGCATAACAATGAGACCACAATTCAGTCTTGCAAAGACAAACATTATATTTAATGAGCTCCTGTTAGCATAGTATTCATCAATCAATTCTTACTTTGCTTCAATTTGTGGAAATCATTGACTCTGTCCCTGGTGGCCTGCTTTAGTGTGTCTGTTTGAATTCTGGGTTCCCGCTCCAGGTTTGAGCCTGGAATTAAGTGCTGAAGAGGATTTGAAGGGTTCTGTTTTGAGGTGCCAGGATTTTCATTCTGATTTAGATGTGAACCTGTGGTATAAAAAGAGCAAATTAAAAGATTTGTGATTCTTTTCTTCTTCTGCTTTTTTTTCCCCTTCTTCAGAAACAGGGTTTCTTCGTGTAGCCCTGGCTGTCCTGAAACTCACTCAATAGACCAGGTTGGCCTCAAACTCAGAGATCCACCTGCCTCTGCCTCCTGAGTACTGGGATTAAAGGCACAGGCCACCATGCCCGGGTAAGAATTTAACATACCCCACCTTGAGGACTGAACACAGGGCTGAAGAAGCGCTCCCTGAGTTAAATCCTTAACCCAATAATGTAATTTTTTAATTAATTATGTATTTGCTTTACATCCCAACTGAGGAATGTATTCTTTTTTTTAATATTTATTTATTTATTATTTATACAAGGTTGTGCCTGCATGTACATCTGCACGCCAGAAGAGGGCACCAGATCTCATTATAGATGGTTGTGAGCCACCATGTGGTTGCTGGGAATTAAACTCAGGACCTCTGGAGGAGCAGTCAGTGCTCTTAACCTCTGAGCCATCTCTCCAGCCCCAAGGAATGTATTCTTTAAAAAAACAATTTCATATGACCTGCTTTAGAAAAGCAAAAAAAAAAAAAACAAAAAACCATGGCCTCTGACAGTAGGAGATCACAGCGCTGGTTTGTGATTAAACTTTACTCTATTTTATCAAATGCCAGTTGAGCTGTGGCTAAGTTTCTCCACCACTGACTATAAGCCTTATCCAATTCTGTCTCTGGGTTTCTCCAGTAGAAATGACACTCATTTCTTCTCGCTCTAAACAGCTGCTAGAAATCTCTAAGATCCACCAGGGTTTTGACACTTTTAATATCTATGTCATCTTTACCTATACAATGATTCATAGCTGTTCTCATTCTTTCTCTTTTTTCCAGCATTGAGGATAGGAATTATAGTCATACTAGCTAGGGAACTGCTCTATGACTAAGCTGCATCCCCAGCCTACTTAATGCCTCAGAGCTCTAAAATCAGAAAGTTCCTCAGCCAGCAATCTCCACATCTTTTGTGTGCGTTCACGTGAATGTGTGCATGTTTGTACAAGTATCTGTAGAGGTCACAGGTCACCTGTAGGTATTATTCCTTAGGAGTGTCTACTTTGTTTTTGACTGGACCTGGGCTTTTCTGAGTTGATCACATGGGCTAGCCAACAAGCGTCAGGGATAGAACTGTCTCCATCTACTGGTGCTGGGTGGGACTGCAAGAGCAGGTTGTGCCCAGCATTTCGCTAGGATGCTGAGGAACACTTAGGCTGAATGCTTCACTGATGAACCATTTCCCTAATCCTTGCTTCTGTTTTGTTCTTTACCATCATCTCCTCAAAGCAGCTCCTTTCAATCACGTTAGGAGAATACTATTGGTGTTCAGTAGAAAACAGACATATTCCTAAATTAAGGGTTTAATAGGAATACTAATATATAGAAAGCTTCTATGAAATGCTATACATTTTAAATAGGTGACTCTCTTTTAGCCTGGCAGGAATAAAGGGAATATAGATTAAACTGGTACAACACATAATTCTTGTGATCTTAAGTAAAAGACTAAAAATCTATTAAGTAAATACACTTTGCTTGGATCTCTTCATTTTATCAATTTGAAACAGTTTCATGTTAGCCCAGGCTTTCCTCAAACTTGGTACATAGTAGATGATTGTGGTAGTTGAATAAGAATGGCCCACAGGGGGCTGGAGAGATGGCTCAGAGGTTAAGACAACTGACTGCTCTTCCAAAGGTCTTGAGTTCAATTCCCAGCAGCCACATGTTGGCTCACAAGCATCTATAATGAGATCTGGTGCCTTCTTCTGCCTGGAAGATGTACATACAAACAGAACATTGTATGCATAATAAAAAAAATGTTAAAAAAAAAAAAAAAAAAAAAAGAATGGCCCATAGCTCTTTGAATGCTAGTCACCAGAAGTGGAACTGTTTGAAAAGATTAAAGGATTAGAAGGATTAGGAGGTGTGGCCTTGTTGGAGGGTGTGTCACTGGGGTGGACTTTGAGGTTTCAAATGTCCACACCAGGTGAGGCTTTCTCCCTGCTGCCTGTGGCTCAGAATGTTAAGCCCTCAGCATCCCTGTCTGTCTGCCTGCTGCCGTACTTCCTGCCATATGCTTATAGTCTAAGCCTCTAAAATTGTAAGCAAGGTCCCAATTAAATATCTTTGTTCCCTCCCTTAAGTAAGAGTTGCCTTGCTCATGGTGTCTCTTCACTGCAAGAGAACAGTGACTAACAATGATGATCTTGACTTCCTGGTCCTCATGTCTCTACTTCCAAGTGTTGAGATGACAAGCATGCATCACCACTATGGTGGTTTAAATATGAATAGCCTCCACAGGCTCATAGATTTGAATGCTTGGTCATTTGGTACTACTTGACAGGGATTAGGAGGTGTGGACGTCTTAAAAGTGGGTATGGCCTTGTTGGAGGAAGGTGGATCATTGTAGAATGGGCTCAGAGGCTTCAAGACCCAGCTACTCTCCAGCACCCTGTCTGCCTGCGTGCCATCATGCTCCTGCCATGATCATAATGGACTAAATTTCTGAATGTAAAAGCCAGTGCCAATTAAATGCTCTCTTATAAGAGTTGCTATGGTCACAGTGCCTTTTAACAGCAATAGAGAACACTGACTAAGACAACCATAGTACTCAACATTTTTTGTTTGATTGTTGAGACAGGATCTCACTACACAAAGCTCAGGCTGGCCTTGCATTTGAGATGATCCTCTGCCTCAGCCTCTTGAGTTTTAGAATTACAGATATGAATCATCATGCCCATTTTAAAATCCAATTTTTAAATTTAATTTTTAACACATCTATCTATCTATCTATCTATCTATCTATCTATCTATCTATCTATC